TTCTACAAGACGCTTCAAGTCCAACTCGCCTACTTCCCTACTTTCCTGAAAGACGTACCTTTCCTGAACCTTTCCGCACCTCCCATGGTGTTACAGCACCTCCGATATGGGCCGACATTTGACCAATCAGCGTTGTCATTCGATGAAATCATGATGACATCACAAATTTTGACCATATATTACCTTATGTGACGTTTCGTGAAGGTGTCATTTGACCTCATCCCTCCCCAAAGAAAGTCACAAATTGTTTTTCTTTTTTTTAAGGGGCGAAGCTCCTTACTCCGAGGGTCGTATGTCCTGTGTCGTCGTCGTAGTAGTAGCCACCTCTCGTTTAGTCCTTAGAATGTCCGCTGGATGGCGGCACTTGTATATAATGAAAAGATGCGAGATGGTGTTTACTTTGAGTGCGTCCATTCGTACATCCGTGCGTCTGTCCATGCGTCCACCCATCCGCCCGCTTCGCCCCACTCGTCATCAGTCCCCCCGTGGATAAGCTGTGATTCTTTCTTCTCGGTTCGTGGACGGACGCCACGAACTCAACTAGGTGTGCTATTTACAGCCCTCCTATAAATATAAGCAGATGTACTTTGTCCACTTAGTCTTCGCGCTGTTCGTGTTAGCAGCGGCGCAGTAGGGTCTTATAGGCGACGTAATTTCTGTTAGTTTCAGCTTTGTTCCAACGCTGTTGTACGCAGCTGTATACAACTTACATTTTCTTTCTTACAAAAACTGGTTGCAGGCCTTTTAGGGGCGAAGCTCCCTATAGCGGCACCCGTTTGTCCCTCGTAGTCGTTGTAGTAGTGTGTAACAAGTATAACATTTTGACCTTCAAGAGGGGGCCGGTGAGAGATTTCTTCTGTGCGTTGTTGAGCCATAAAAGATAGTGCTCAATTTACATGCCAACGGCTGCTAAGGGGGAATGACAGACAGGAGAATTCGGCTTTTAGTTAACGCGCACGCTGCGAATTTTTTATTGTTCAACAACGCACAGAAGACAAGAAAGGGTTGCTACGTTATACTCGCTGGGCGTAACCTCCTAGGTTTTAGAAAGGTTTAGCGAGCGTTGGGCCGCAGTGCCATGAATACAGTGAACTATAGTAAATACCATGAACTTGAGGTGGTTAAAGGTGATGTAGACACGAAGCGCAAGCCGTAAGAAAGTGTGCGTGTGCCTCCTCTCGTTCAGTCCTTGGAATGTCCGCTGGATGACGGTGCTTCTATATGGGGAATATATGATTAAATGATGCGAGATGGTGGTACTTGGAATGTTGAATAGGTGGACGAACGGACACACAGGCATAGATGCATGGACGGACGCACGGATGGCTGCACGGACGAATAGACACATGGACGGACGCAGGAGTGGATGCATGGACGAAAGCAGGGACGGACACGCAAATAAACGTGCGGACGCACGAACAGACGCACGCATGGAGGGGTGGATGTATGCACGGGCGGCCACACAGACGCACGCATGGGTGGGCGGAAGCAAGAACGAATGGACAGACCGGTGCTTCGCTCCTCTATCCATCATTCAATCCGTGGATATGCTGCCTTTTTTTTTTTGGCTGTGTCATGTTTTTGTTAGCTGTGTTAAAGAATGCCTGGGTGTGTTGTCTGTCGGCACAACCCTTTGAGGCTTTGGCAGGCCAATATTCAGGCTCTTTCAACTTGTTAATTAAAATTTATTTTAAGAAGGGAGGCGTTGAGGCATGCTCCACGCTGGTCCTGCATCGATGGCCCTGACAAGTGTACATGGTCTGGATGGCGACGGACACCCGAGTGGCATTCACTTCCTGTCGAGGTAAGGCCCAATTTGAATGGTTGTGCTCGTCAAGCTCTGGGTTCTTACTCTGCTGTCGCACGTGGAAAACCTAATTGCGCGGGTCGACACGGGGTCTCATGTCTTCGCACTCTACCGCTATGGGTCCAACCAGGCTTCCTTTCATCTTGGCATCCTTTGTCTTCAGGAACTCGCGCTGCACAATTTCTGAACTTCGCGTGCCCAGCCGTGAACCAGTTCCGACTGGTGCAGATGAATCGAACGTACATGCTGTCTGAACAGGTTCACGAGGCTCGCTGCCTCGACGCTTTGGAAATCCTGCTTTGCCTTTTTGCCGCGCTGCTTCGGTGTCTTCGCCAACGTGTCCACGCCAGGCACCGGTCCTGCCATATACTCGCAAGCACGCTCCGCGCTGTGTTGCTTTTACGCATGCGCGTCCAGTGTCCCTCCGTCACGAAAAAAAGGAGACGCAGTGTTGTCTGGGATTTCGCGCCGGTCGCGCCTGGCGTCAGACTGTAAAGAGCTTGCGTTCTGCTAACATAGCGTCTCTGTGCCCAGCGTACGCGCGCGTCAACACTACATTGGAGTATATTGGGACCTCATGATGCGTGTGTGGCTGTTTTGCTAGCTCCGCATATGCTAAATTAGGTATCTTGTGACGTGAATAAATGACTGCTAAATTAGGTATCTTGTGACGTGAATAGATGACGAAGGTAAACGACACATCCAAACATGATAATCATGACACGGAAGTCATGTACGGCATCATTTACCTCCACCTCGTGACGTTGTGGTGATTTTAAAGTGACATATCAACCTCTCTTATTCGTGCTTCGCATATCATCGATTCCCACTGTACGTGGGATCTGCCAGTTTTTTTTTTTTTTTTTGTTGTTGTTGTTGTTGTTGTTGTTGAACCTGCCCTCTGCTTTATAAGGATTATGTACCAGACATTTAAATGGTACCATTCCAGTAGTTTTCAATGTATGCCAATCGTTTGGTTAAGTAATCAAATGGAAACTTAAGTTTCTTCTCTCAGAACGTTTTGTTTTGTAGTTTATGAGAAGAGCTACTTGGAGAGGAAGCGTAATTCTGCAATATAACCCCATCTAGCACAGAGGTTTCTCAGGATGACTTGAGATAAGCGCAACGTTATCAGTTGACTCCATCGATGCGGTGAGCAGGCTGGTGAAACCCTGCCGGAGACATCTTAAGCTCTCCCATAGTAGAGTACACTGTACTCTAAATCGTTAATTACTGTTTTCTAATCCCCCCCCCCCCCGGAGACATCTTTGTGTGGCGCTTTTCTAGTCCAGAGACGCGGGGATGGCTTACTGCTCCGCCATAGTTGAGCACCAAGTACGCGAAATCGTTAAACATTTTTTTTTCTAATGATCCCCCCTCCCCCCTAGCGATGCTAAGACCTTTGTTCCGTGATGAAATCCACTCGGCATTTCCAGGCCTACGGGACGGCTTTATGCTCTGCCCTAGTAGAGTAGCTGGTACTCTAAATCGTTACCTACTTTTTCTAAACACACAGACCCATCTATGCGTTCGTTTGTCGACACGGTCTCAAGAATTGCGACACGCGCGGGACGGCTTATTGCTGTCCCATAGTGGAGTACTAAATACTCTTAATCGTTAAACACCTTTTTTAAACGCAGTCAACCGTGTGATTGTTGTCTTTAGGTTCGGGACGGCTTTCCGCTTTGCCATAGTAAGAGCCCTATGCAAGGGACCGAACCTATACGACTTTCGAATAACCCAGGTTTGGTCCCTGGCCACGGCAAGTTGTCTTTTCATCCACTTTTCTTCCCTCACGTTTACATTACAGTAACCTGATATAACCTCCCCTATTCTTTATTGGGCACGAGTGTCTGTTATATCTCATTAATATTGTGTCTAACACAGGAAACGCGCCCTTAAAGGGCCACTCACCAGGCCCCATACCGAATTTTAGTTAGACAGTGGAAGTTGTTAGGTGTTCGATGAGGAACGTTTTGCCACAAAAATTTCTCGAATCGGTTCGTTACGAGCGGAGAAAACGGTTTTTTTTTTTTTTTTTTGAAGCGGCGGGAAACGATGGTGAGAGGAGACGAGTTCGAAACCATTGCCGCTCCTCCGCGTCTATAGCCTTCGCAAGCCAAACCTCTTCCCCTCCCTCTCCGGCATCCGACCAAGAGGTGACGTTCGCATCACGTGCCCCGAACAAGCCCAGCCCCCGTGCACGCAAGCGGCGTTGCTTTGTTGACCAGCGTTATTTTGTGGTCTTCTGCCTGTTTCTGCGGGATGATTTGGAGACGCTGGCTTAGATGCGGTAGAGTAGATGAGCAGATGTGGTAGAGTAGATGAGTAGAGTAGGAGCGTTCCACGGCGGTCGTCTGCTCAATGCGCTGACCACGGGAACCCGAACGAATGTGAAACGCTGGCACATTAGCCCCGCATCTCGTAGCATTTCACGGGAAAAAGATGCAAGAAAAACGTGCACAATTTTTTTATTGCGTCTCATTATTTATTTCAAGTTTTACTCATCTTTTAATGCAACAAATACATAAACTACCCATGTTGCGTTAAATAATTTTTGCCATGTCACGTGGTATACTGTTGACAACGTCAGAGCAGAGTCGTCTACGTAGAGTACCAACGTGACCACAGTGCTGTGTACGTAGGGTCATTCCTACGCCCACGTCATGCCCTCATTCTCTATGCGTGCGCAGGTAGAGGGGAGGGGGAGCAGCTTTCATATTGAAATTTGACCCAGTTCCGCGGCACGTAGCGTTGCAAATTTCGGCAGACGTGATCTTGAACGCCTCGTCTACGCATTGCGCTTGTCAGCTCAAAATTGTCAAACCTGGTGAGTGGCCCTTTAAGCGTACACTTCTTTCCTTCATTCTGAATTAGTGGTATCGTGCCGTCAAAATTTGTGACGTCTCGACACAAAAAAAAAAAAAATTAAAAACCCGAATTGACTGGTGGCTCTCATATTACGGGGTATTTACCTTCCGGCTAAGCCACCTAAATTTTAAGGTACCTTTCTCTTATGCCCTTTTGAAACCGAAAACAATGTTTGTGTGTTTGCGCAGCAGTATTGTTCTGATGTACTGCTCTAATGATGTACGCTACTTAAGCATTTATTCATCCACGTTTCCCATTTAACGTCCCCTCAGTCACACGTCTCATACGAAATATAAAGAAGAGACACACATCACACGATGTATTTCGTTTAGCACCTGATCTTGTTTATTTCCAGTCATGAGGTGCAGCCGGACTGCAATGACTCGGCACACGAGTCCTCCATATGCGTCCACGTCATTGTGAAGTATGTACACGTCATCTTTCACTCACACAAGCACACTTGCAGCAAAAAAAAATACAACACAAGAAAACACGCTCACAGTATTTTTATCCCCAGTCATTCAATGGCTTCTCGATCGACCACTGGCCTTCAGTGGCCGCAAAAGAGGCAAAAGAAGCGAACAGATTTAAATAACTACACCCCTAACATCATGACCTGCAACAAATCTTTGAACACAAGTGTTTGAAGGCTGCTCTGTAAAGGAGCAACCACATTAATGTGTATTTCAACAATTTCGTCGCACTGTCTTGTGCTTAATATGATCACTTCTGAAAGCAAAGATGATAAAATACAAATACACAGCGATGAACACATTAACCGTGTGTATTATTTTTTTTTAAATCGCCACATAAGTGCTTATAATGTTTCAACAGCAATAAAAGCCACAGAAAATAAAAAACTCGATTTGGCTGAATTTGTGTGACGACGCAGACATCTCTGCATTCATATCTCTGATGATGATTTATCGCCGTCTTGTTTTAAACAATAGTGGTATTCGTGTAAGCTTTTTGTGATCGCATTTACATGCTTGTAATTCTATACTCCCTTTTTGTGCTAAAAATTTGCGACCATTGACCCATCCATAATAAGATTAATGAATTCAAGCTTCAATAATGCTTGCTAGCACCTCTCGGTGTCATATCTATCTTCTCACGAATAATCATCGCATAGCGAGCTCAGTTTTGAATACCAGTAGATGGAAAAATACCACCTGTAAGGCCTTTCAGAATCCATTTCCGAATACTCCTTCAGACAAGTCATCGCAAAAAGGCTGGTCCGTAAGCACCCGTTACCAAAGGTCTGGGTAACGGCTTTCCTACGCGATAACAGCAACGCCATTGTACAGATTACTGCCTTACGCACGACGGGATAATTGCACTCAACAACGACCACATTAATCAAGAACGCAGAGTGGTCGGGCTGCTTTGGAGATCACGTAAAACGTCACAGCCGAAGGTGCACTTTACACCGATATAACCGTTCACTCTCTTTTTTTTTCAGTTTTTGTCAGACTGAGCCAATCTGTTTCAAGTCAGATTTCTATACACGTCCGTTGGTACTAGATGGAAAATTATAGATATAGGCATAACCAAATAACTGCGAACTCTGTTCGAACACATTCCACGCAAGAAAAAGAAACGTTTGATGTGTACACATGACAAAAAAACATTGCGTCAGCTCGACAAACTCTACAGCGAGTGCGCCTTCGCAGATAAGGTATTTTGACTGAAGTCCAAAGGGGGTCGCACACAGTGTGTGCCGTACGATCTGTACTCGGTCAAAGGTGCCGGTGCTGTGGCCCGACTTGGGATTGGCTCGCTACGACAACTAAGCCAAAGTGTGCGTGAGTGTGTACACGTGAGGTGGTGCACGCCCCGGCAGCGACGAACCCGGGGCTTGCTTTTGCCTCGACATTGAGGACAGCAACTACCGACTTGACTGTGCCAAGTGCGTCGTACGAAGGGCGTCCTTGCGTGGTTTTCTTTTCAAGGGTAGGCATACAGCGCCACCTGGCCGGACGTGAGAAACGCGCCCGCTCTGGAGGTCAGCATCAATATCGGCGACGACATGCCCGCTATCCCGGAGGCTATACCATAAACACGCCGCTCTTAAACATGAGTGAAAGGCGCTTCGGAACGACCGCTGACAGGTAAACGCATACGAAACTAGGGCTGAATGGAGCCATCTAAAGACCAGATCCGGGTCATTTCTGCGTTGGTCAAAATACTGAAAACCATATGTGTCATTTTTAGTGCTCGACAGCCACTTTGCGGACACAAGTTTTAGATAAGCTTCAAGCCTCCACTTTCCATGATACTGCCTGACACGAGAAAACCTACCCTCCGTATTTTTTTTTAAAGCACGGCACCAGTGATGCTTGCGAGCTTGATATCGCAAGGCATGCGTAGCGTAGGTGCTTCGAGATGACGTCAAATAACGTGGTGCTAAGGCGTGAGAGTTACTAAGGCTGTGTCGACAATGAAACTGTGCGATAAGTGTACAATTACAGGCACAATGTAAGAGTGTAACACTGCGAAACATATTTAGAGGACGGTTGCTAACTTTCAACGTATTCTCATAGTGCGTTCGTTTCGCCAGAGTTCTCTCTGTAATGCTAAACGAGACAACACTGTCCGCGGCAACATCATCACCAATGTGTGGCGTTTCTGCGAGCAATACTCATTTACATGAAAGCTGCAGGTGTCCGCAAGCTGTCAGCAGGAAAATCTACAGTGTGTATGCATGAAACTGTCGACGCTCGCACCGAACAAGCCCACACTCACTTAGCGGTCAAAGTTGAAACTTGGGTGATAGCAATCTCCAGGCAAACGCGAGGCGCGTTGAAGTGCAGGGCAAACGATAACTGCGGTGCGTGGGCTGTATTCGAAAAGCAGCGCCGACTCTCCTTTTCTACCTGGAGAGTGGTCCCTACGCACACATTGCCAAGTCGTCACTCAAACCACCAAAAAAGTACACCCCGGGCGAAAGGCGAGGCGGCTGCCGGTGGCACTGCGACGGCTGCTGGCAAGCACACTCAGCAGCCGAGCGTCGCCACGTTAGTCCTAAGCGGCACCGCTCGCTCGTCCACACTTCAACAGCTCCGCACACTGACGCAGCGTCACACCACCCGGCGCGCAGAGTTCGGGCGGAAGGCACACACATAAAACACGCGCGCGCACGTGCGCCGTAATTTATAGCAGCAGTACGTACTTTGTGATGAAAGATAGATTAGATTATATATACTATAGCTCTCTCTGTGTTTCTTGTTTCCGTGTGCTTTCCACAACGTCCGGGTCGGCCTGTCGAGTCCCTTCCAAGTCCTCCGCGTGCTGTATTCGTCTCCGTTATGTACAGTGGTGTCGCGACGAGCCACGATAGAAGCGTTCGTTTTCCACGCAGCGGCAGGGGGAGGTGGAGAGAGGAAGGTGCGTTGATGACTGCGTCGCCTCACGGCGGTGAGTTCTTGCACTCAAAGCACGTGACCGCACTGGGGGGTATGCTGCAGCTGCTGCTGCCTTCTTCTGTGTCACGACACGGCGAGAACCGTTGAAGTTGCTGCTAGGCCATCGCGCCCACCATGCTGTTGGACGCGGCCAGGCTGAGGCCCGCGGTGGATGGACCGAGGCCGAGACTGGACAGGCCGCTGGCCGTGGTCATGTGCATGGGCGGCGAGGTGACGAACGTGCCGCCCATGGAGATGGGCATGTTCATGTTGCCCTGGTGCATGTAGTGGTTCATGGTCATGGACATGGACGAGGCGAACTGGTGGCCCGTCGGCGAGAAGCTGGAGAAACCTTTGTCCAGCGGCTTGATGCAGTCTGGCAGCGCCATGGCCAGGCTGCCGGCGCCTCCTTTCTTCTTCTTGCTCTTCGAGGAGAGCTTGCGGTTCCGCGTCTGGATGCCTTCCTTCTTCATCGTCAGCGGCCGGTTTACCTGCGTTATAACAGAAGGGTGACGTTAAGAACGATCGTTAATTCGATCGATCGAACGATCGAACGATCGATTCGAACGATCGTTAAGGAACAGACAACGTTCACAGCAACAACAACGAAAATCGCAACCACTTCCACGCCATGAAAGCCATCGCACGTCGAAATGTATGCTATGGAGCATTATCATCCTTTAGCATCATCATCACTTCGAAAGAATTGTACAGAATTCGGTAGTGTTTCTTAAAACATGATCCCGATGCGGATATTCTAGTCGACTCACTATAAAAGCTGCTCTACCAACTTCAAGCGTCAGTGAACGGTTTCGCTCAAAAGCAATCTCACAAGAATTGGCTCATTTGAACTTGAGATGGCTGATGGTCAACGAGAAATACGAGAAATCATTGGTCTTCGAACCAGCCGGCACTTCGTTGAAGGAGCGGGCTAGCATGTTGTTACAGACAGTGCCGCCGATTTCACCGAACATGCCAACTAACTATAGTGTATACGTTCTGCTCACTGGTTTTCAGCGCAGTTAACAGAACATTCAACTGCTGACCATATCGCACTGACTGGAATATTCTGCCATTGGAAGAAACAAACGGAAAGGTGAGGCTCGTTGAAAACGTGTTGTAAAACGTCCATTGCTAAACGTGCTACTGAAGTACAGAAGGCTTGCTTAGCAGTCTTTCGTCGGTGGTCGTGAACCGTGCGAATTCAAGCAGAACAGGGACGTTCCGGTGTATAAACTCGGCAATGCATGATGGTGCGCTCTTTATTTTTTCGCTTTAAATACGGTATCCCATCTCAAGAAGCAAGCATGTAGTAACATACGAAAAAGCAAAAGCGATATCTAGTTTTCTTAACCGCTAAACGCTGACCCGAAACCTCCTCCCTTTCCTCCGAAATGTCTCGTCCCACGAATTCAAGGCCGCAACGGCCGTGGTGCGGAGAGAAGCGGCCAATTTACGATCGAGTCCGGTCATCGCCAAACGTCCGCTTTCGCTGCGTGGAAAATCGCGCGGAGCGCACAGCGGTATATGTGTATGCGTATTTGGGAATGACCGCGCAACTGCTGGCTGCGGCCGGCTGCGGGCAGAGATATACCCCATGGGAACGGATGCTCAGTGGGAGAGAGGCAGCGTGGGGCTCAAGTCGAGCTGGCCCTCGCAGAAGAGATGCCGCGGTGGCCACTTTCGGTGGGACAGGTCCAAGCGACTCGCGCTACTGTGGCCACGACGTGACTGCTGGCTTCCTTGCAGCGTGGATGTGAGAAACCGTGCCGCAAACTGGAGGCCCTGCCGGTGGTCGCGAATGTATTATACTCACAAAAGAACAAACAATTCCCACAGTAAAAATGAGAAAGAAAGGAGTTTGCCGTTTCTCCTTTGAGCGGAACGCGGAGCCGCATTGTCTCTGCGTCTCGCGACTATTTTCACTCGTCGGAATTGGGGGACGCTTTTCAGTGTCGCGGAGCGCCATTTGGTGGTAGGATGGGGAGCGAGGGGGGGGGGGAGGCTTTAGCGTGGCAAAACGCCATGTTGTTCGAGGAGGGAGTACAAAAAAAAGGGGGAGACCGAGAGAGGGAGGGGGGGGGGGTTGGAGGAGCGTCGCCGGTGCTGAATTTCAATAAGGGGCAGCGGCCCTTTTTGCGTAAGCCGCCGCCGCCGCCACCGCCACTGAAAAAATGCCCTAGCCCCTTTTGTTACACAGACCGATGATCCGCATGGCTTGTCTTGGGACAATTTTCGGAACGTTTGCTTGGGAGAACAATTTTTATTATGCTCTTTACGAAGGGTGTTTTCCGAATCGCTATGCTTCGGTGGCCGGCTCAGGAATTCGTGTTATTTCGTTTTATTGATTTTCTTTTGATAATGTCTCTGATATATATCGGTGTTTTCTTTGGGGGGGGGGATCGTTTGTGTGGGAGAAAGACCCATCTTTTACGGAAGACCACCCACAGGTACATGGAGAGCACCGATATCACCAAATTTCCGGTAAGCGACGAGCAGAAACAACGAGAGTAATACAAAAGAAAAAAAAACGGCCATTATGACAGGTTTGTGAAAGTGAGAACGTGAGGTCACCTTTGTAGAAATCTATGCTTCTATGGAGATGTAAGCGCGCGAGACTTATAGTGGAGTGCACAAAACAACCAACTACGTCTATGTAGAATTCAGATGCAAACATAAAAGAATATTTACAAAAACCACAAGCAGTTACATAAAAAACGAGTACAAAAATTGAACGCTGTTCTCAAAAGGTAAGATGGGTCGAAGTAAAACCATTCACGTGATCGTTTGTGAGTTAATTACCAGCGTGTATCATAATACAAGTTGGTAGATGAAATGAAGTGATTATAATTAGCGCGAGCGTTCAATAGATCGAGAGAAAAGCTGAAAAACAATGCAGAAATTCCAAGCTTAACTAGCTTGTTCGAACGATCTGAAAGCAAGACAAAGTTAAGCCAAATGACGAATTCGTTATAGCTTCTATCATCGCACATAACTTCTTCAAAAGGTCATATGTGCTCCTTTACAAAATGAAGATTCTTTAGGGAGTCCATGCGAAATCAGCATCGTCATTCTCGTTTTGCAACAAGGAACTGCTTATTGTTGCGTGATGCAGCTCGTTGTTACGTGATCTGGAATGAAGACCTGTAAGAATGTGCAAGTATATGTATGCCGCTGTGCGACTTCGGAAAACTTGGCAGCGTGCCTCTTTCGCATTGTCTTCGTTTGTCACAAGCAGATGGCGCGAGCGTTACACAGAAAGTTGCTGAAGTGTGGCATGCACGGCGAGGAGCAAGTCGCTCCCATCGTCGAGCAGTCAAAATGAAAGATGCGGTGCAAACCGACGCCACAAGGCAGCGCTACCTCCGCTATTTATCTATCTATCTATCTATCTATCTATCTATCTATCTATCTATCTATCTATCTATCTATCTATCTATCTATCTATCTATCTATCTATCTATCTATCTATCTATCTATCTATCTATCTATCTGTCCTGTCCTGTCCTGTCCTGTCCTGTCCGTCCGTCCGTCCGTCCGTCCGTCCGTCCGTCCGTCTGTCTGTCTGTCTGTCTGTCTGTCTGTCTGTCTGTCTGTCTGTCTGTCTGTCTGTCTGTCTGTCTGTCCGTCTGTCTCTGTCCATCCGTCTGTCTGTCCGTCCGTCCGTCCGTCTGTCTGTCTGTCCGCCCGTCCATCCGTCCTTCCAGTAGCTCATTACAGGTCGTGGCTGTGAGAAGTGTCGCCGAGTATCATTAGCGTGAACGTTAACATAGCATACGTGCGTGTCTTGTTATTTCGCTCTTAAGCGCTTCCGTACGGAAACCGAAGCGGGTCGCACGTCCCGAAACGGCACACATATTCAGGGACGAGGCGAGCCCCGCCTCAAAGATATTTCCTCCCGCTCTGCAGTGCTCTGCTTACGACCCATCGAAAAAAAAAAATGTGTGTGTGGGGGGGGGGGGTGTTGAAAAGAGCAGTAACTGAACACAGCGATAGCCATTACGAACCTCAACGTTGTTCTCGAAAAAAAAAAACAAGGTCAGCGCATTCCTACCGCGCCAGCAGCCACGACGACGTCGGGTCCGATGAGACGGCGCCATTTCGCGGTCGCGTCGCGGGCCGCACGCTAAAAACTGCGCTCAGTGAGCGCGCGCGTTGCGCACAATGCTCGCCGTTGTTCCAGGTGTGTTATACATGGTGGCGCCATCGAGCCGCGTTCGGCGTTGTTGGCCCCCTCAAAACCGGTGCGCGCGTGTGTACACCTATACGGACAGGCCCGAAGTGCGTATACAAGTCGGCGCCACTGTGTATCCCTCGCGATCAGGTGGGCGTGGTCGCCGAAGACCGCATGCAGACACAGCGGTACATACAAGTCGGATCGCACTGGAGTAGACAAGGGGAGGGGAAGACGTGAAGTTGCATACAACCGCAAGTTGCACCCCGCGGGTGCACGCTGTTGCTTACACGACCGTAAGCTGCGCCCGCGTTGTGGCATGCGTGTAACAAGGGTCGTTTGCCGCGAAGAAAACAACGTGTACTTGCTCATGTCTGACAATCCACGTGGGATATGAACCTCCTCCCCCTCCGTTCGCTTGTGGTTTGGAAGGCCTGCATTGCCGACCCCCTCACCCACACTGCCACCAATTCCTCTTTTTTTGTGTGTGTTTAGGTCACGTGGTAAAAAACAATCGCCAGTATTGTCGTGTGTAACAGAAAGAAACCTTAGAGCTTATGTGTGTCAAAATGGCGGAAACAATGGGTGTCTACTGTGTGTGCCTCCGCAGCGCGAGGCCGAGCTGGGTGACTGGGATGATCGAAATGTTTACTGCTGTGACGCGCTTGTGAGAGATTTAGGAGCAACCCAAGGAAGTTGCGTGAAGCTTTAACCTATACATGCCGTTGTCGTTGCGGTCCGCCGTTGGGGCTAAGCGAGTGGGAAGCTGTCGGCTCCATTTCCTTGAATCTGCACGGAAGTGAGGCAGTCGTCTGTACCTCTACCAGTAAAAAGAATGAAACGAAAGAATGACGCAGCTTCGTAAAAGCGGAACACCAGTTTTTATAACGAAAAGATTTAAGACGTGAATAAAAAAATAAAGACAGTCGTGCTTGTTGGAAGCTAAACTTTCGACAGCAATGGGGGCAGGAAGAAAAAAGAAAAAAAGGAACACGGGCAACTTTATGAAATTACAAGGACCACAGCTGACATTGGTAGTCCTTTAGCCAGAATTTGCCAATATTAGCCAACCGTGGCCAACATTGGCAAGTCCAGTCCAGCCCTGATCGTGTTCTGGTAAACACGACAGCTGAATTTGGTAGCCATCAGCGTAAATCATCCTAATGGCGATACCGGTAGACCCCCCCCCCCCCCCCCCCCCACTGGAATGTTCGGGAAGAGGCCTCAGAAGAAGTTGTCTTCGGCTGTAGTTTCGTCACCTATAATATAACTGAATTCAGCCCCAAAAGCGAACGCTCGCTTGTTTACTCCAGACAT